ACCAACAACCGCCATCGGTGCCTTGAATTTTCTTTATTTCCGATGGTTAGGTTTTTTTCTATTTTCAATATATTCTTAGTTATTATTATCTAGATCTATTATTATTAAAAACTGAATCATTGGTTGATGCAATTCTAGAGCTATGATTGGCTTGGCCATCATGGTATATGAGCCATTATACAATGCTCTCCAAATATGGTAACTGTACGCGTCTGCTCAAAATTAAAAACAAATAAAGTCGGGAAGAATTCTCGATATTTTTTGGGCGTTGTTAATAAACCAATTATTCCACTCGCGCTTGTTGGATATGAGATGATTATAGCTAACTTGGCGCTACGCGCCTGGTTGGCCATCACCCATCTCATATCCAACGCGCACTCGTGGAATAATTGTTAATTATCTATCTCTGCAGATATCTCAGGTAATTTTTTGTTTTTGTTTTGTTTTTCGTATGTTAATGTACCCTAATGAAGTTGAAACAAAGGAAAAATAAAAATTTCCTAAGATAAAAAAAATATCAACTACAAAATATATACCTATAATTTCGTTTAGTTTCGCGGAGGGCCTTAAATCCACTTTCATTTCTAACACAAGGAAGGAGCAGAAGAAAAGACAAACTTACGTGGAATGTGAAGATGTTATCCAACATCAAATTCCTTATCGTGAAGTTAACATCCAGACTTTTCCCAGGTGCCAGAGAGAAGCGATCATCAGGAATAACGGCTTCTAAACGCAAATGGTTGAAAATTTCCGTCTTCGGTTGCGCCTTGCTCACAGACACTTGGATAGAAAATAAAGGTATCTTTCTCACGCTCACTTTGCTTGAATACAAAACAGCCTCGACTGTCAAATTGTACACCCTCTCGCTTGCATCACGTGAGTTTATAGCCAATTCACCTGTTGCCGTGGCATTTGTTTGCAGAACGAGGCTAGATGGCATAGCGTAACAGATGAGTGCGGAAGCATTAGTCACTTCAAATGAGAAGGAACCGTTAGAGCCGAGGTTGATGAGCTTAAAAGGGACTTTGGTGGAATCCCCGGAATGAAGGGAGACGGCTGTGGTGCTCGGGTTGGCCTTGAGGAACACGGTATCGGCTGGAGTTGCTGGTTCGCTCTCCGATAATACAGACACTTGGATAGAAAATAAAGCCACTTTTTTAACATTCACCTCGTCTGACTGCGAGACAGCCATAACCGTCAAATTCTGCACTTCAATATTCTCACTGCGTGAATTTATAACCAAGTGACCAAAAGTAGTAGCATTTGTTTGCAGAGCAAGGGTAAAAGGCGTAACGTAACTGATGAGGGCAGGCGCATTAGTCACTTCAAAGGCGAAAGAACCTTTAGAGCCAAGGTTGGTAAGTGTAAAAAGGACCCTTGTAGTGTTTCCTGGATAGAGGGACACAGCTGTGGTGTTCGGTTTGGCTCTGAGAGACACAATATCAGGAACAAGGCTGATAGAGCAAGTGCCTGTGTTTCCTACGAGGTCAAGACCCACAAAGAGAACTTTAGGATGGCAACAGTTTGACGTGAAGGTTGCTGAGATCGCTTTGTTGACTGCACCCTGGTTGAACGCCCCAACTGAAAAGAAAGATACAGTTATATACGCTGTTCCTCGATTTTGCCATATTATTTCCGNATGAGGGCAGGCGCATTAGTCACTTCAAAGGCGAAAGAACCTTTAGAGCCAAGGTTGGTAAGTGTAAAAAGGACCCTTGTAGTGTTTCCTGGATAGAGGGACACAGCTGTGGTGTTCGGTTTGGCTCTGAGAGACACAATATCAGGAACAAGGCTGATAGAGCAAGTGCCTGTGTTTCCTACGAGGTCAAGACCCACAAAGAGAACTTTAGGATGGCAACAGTTTGACGTGAAGGTTGCTGAGATCGCTTTGTTGACTGCACCCTGGTTGAACGCCCCAACTGAAAAGAAAGATACAGTTATATACGCTGTTCCTCGATTTTGCCATATTATTTCCGTTTGTTAGGAGATGATTATCATTTCATTATTATTATTATTATCATTATCATTTATCTATTTTTTCTTAGTAAAGGATCCAAAACGCGTGGATAGTAAGACTATGGCAATGGCAGTCTGGGCTCCTGGAATACAGCTGTGGATTAATTAGTATTTTCAGCTCACTTATTCAACTTATAAACCTACCTTGAAGGTCTCCATTGATATTATCTCTTGTGGTTATCGATGACAGTCCTTGGCCAGCATCAGTAAATGATACACGCGCTTGCCATTTGTTTAGCTTGCACTTCGGTGAACCGTATACTCCGGTGCATGTCCCAGTTTTTTTCACTACTGTGCATGACGGAGGAGAGAGATCGGGATCCTGAAAGGTTAGTTACTACGTTGCAAAAATCAGCGAGCATGGAAAGGAATGAACCAGCCAATAATAATTGTGATAATGACAATGATGACGAAAATGATATATAATATCAATAATAATAAAACCATTGAAAGATATATTTAATCCCTAAAAAGTGTCTCAACACTTTTGTCCCTCATCATTGCATTAGCTCGCTCTTCTGTACGATGGGCAACAGCGTAATCATCCAAAGGTGTCCGCGTAAAACATAGGGGAACAAGGGCTTAACGAAGCTTTCTAATGCGGGAGTTTTTTCTCACGGAGCTGCCAACAAATATCTGCAATTTTCAACGATGGTTAAAAGTGAAACATGAATCTTTTGTGACGACAGATTTAGGCGTCATTGCTCTCAGAATCTGTGAAAAATTGTGTGGATTTCAGTTTACTTTGGATGACGTTTTTGCTTTGCTATGGTTACTTCTAACTATGCCTTGTAAGATGTAAGTGGCTCAAGAAACGTTCGTCCTTGTGGCTAACTGGCATTGAAAACGCCTTAAGTCCCTAAGCTGGTTTCGGTTGTGATATATCTGGCTGCAACGACAAGAAAATGTCCTTTATTTTTACTCACCTTGGATGCCACGGTAACAAAGAAAACCATGAAATTAACAACCTGAGTAAAGTCAGAAGTCTGTGATGCGAATACCGTGACGGTGCTTGTCACGCCATATTTGGCGCTGCTGGGAGCGGCAAGAGTAAGTCGAAGAACCTGCGTGTTATTCCTTCCCAAGCTAGCTTGCGAGGGATTTATTCGACTATAGAATTTCAGATCATCTGATGCAGTGAAGTACAGGGTTTGTCTGTCCCCAGAATTTTTTTACGTTTATTTCAAGCTCTAAAGATTTTCCCGCAAAAATGGTGTTTGGACTGTTTTTGTTATTGACTTTCTGAGAGAGTTTCACGTCACCAAGACTATATAAAGTTGGTTTTATACGTTGAAAGCGAGCTCCATTCTTGTCTATTCCTGTCACCTTCAGTCTGAAGTTCTCCACAGATGGAACAAAGGTAACAAAAAAAGTGTCCTTGTAGAAGCCTTGCCCTTGTGTGATGTTGAATGTCTCAAGGTCTGCTCCGTTTGCATCCACAAGTGTTAAATTGCTCGGTTTTTGAATTTGTTGCCCAACGAAGTCCATTGTGAGTAGCAGCAGTTGTCCTGCAGGAAAAAAAAAGTCCTTTTTTTTCCCGTAACATCGTCGAGGTCGAGGGCTTTGCGGTTCGGGCTTCCATCTTCGATGAGTGTCAAATCAACTCAAGGGGAGGGGGATGGTTTAGGAGAAGGTAAGAAAAACATTTTTTCTCGTCTCCCTCTCCCCAACGCTATAAACCCCGACACCCGCCCCCTCGGTACAAGATGGACGGGCCGGTACCGGTGAGTGCTCGATCCTTACTATCTTACAAAAATAGGGGAGGGACTGTGAACAGTTAGCCCACGTAGCAAGCGTTTCCGTTTGGTTTCGGAACAAAGAAAGACCGAGGAACGGGATTTTCGGTTTTGGCCGCGCGAGAAATGAAACGAGAGCCGCTGTTTTACATGCGCCATTTTTCGCGCGGTCTTTGACTCTCGTCCCTCGTTCTTTACTAAACTGCACGGATACGCATACTACGCAGGCTAGTAAACAGTCTAATTACTGTATATCTGTTATTTCTAGACGTTAATTCCCCGAACTTATATTATTATCCGTCATAAAATTGTAATTGCGCTAACTGAGTTCGTAACTGATAAGGCATGCCAGGTGGCAGGATGGCGTCTGTAGGCGGGCTAAGCGAACATCTTCACGCAATGTCCACGCTAAAATCCAGATATAAGATTTGAATTCTGTACATTCTTCTCTTGTTATTTCCAATACCAGCTAGAAGAGACAGACGCTGCAGCAACCGGTGCAGCTTAAAACATCGTTGCCTATTCCAGAGAGTCGAAATACAAAAACCCAAATATAAACGCGCTAATAAGCTGTCCAAACAAAGGGTGAGTTTTCCCCCAGGATCTATTCTGAGGTTCATTCATTAGCCACAACACCGGAAACTATTTGCGTCATGGCATTAACATAACAACCAATCAGAGGCTATCCCCAACATTCAGAGGAAACGGGAACACGATTATCGTCGGCGATTCACAGACGTCTCCTTTCCCGATTTTTCCCGAGGGAAGGGGGACGTTTGTATACAGGCTAGTAATGTATCTGATCTCGGTTAAGAACGGGGCGAAACCATCATTTCTTTTGACAGGCGGGGGGAGGGGGCTTGAAAAGTTCTCACACGCAAAAATTCTTTTCATATGCGGCTCCTGCTGCAAACAATTTTTTTGTGTGTGTCTCCGTCTTCCTACAAACATTTTTTTTACTTGCGTACAATTTATTTCAGTATCTACAGCCTCTGCAAACAATTTATTAAAAATTTTTCCAAACCCTCCCCCCCCCGTCAAAAAAATAATGGTCCATCCCCTTAGAAATGCTGTGTGATTTTACTGGCCGTATCATGACAGGGTTTACAAAAGCGTGCTTCGAGCCCAATTACAAAAGGTCCGCCCACCCACCTTCCCTAAAAAGCAAAAGTAATCAAAGAGTTGGGCAGGCGGCATACTATATTTTGCCTTTATTGCCTTACCTCTTAAAGGATTTCCTACAACACGCCTTGTAGTCCCTCGCTCCAGGTCTTCTACGTCCAACAATTGATAGGTGAAGTCCAGAGGACTTGAACCGCTTACTTGCAGAGTGTATGGTCCATCGCAGGAAACTGTTATCTTTAGTAAGCCAATGAATAAATTGGTAACTTCCATTATAAGAAGCTTACTCGAAGATGTCAATACATTTCTTTGTAGTGACGCGATTCCTGAAAAAGATCAGAACAAAAAAAAGACGTTACATCAAAACATCAAAAGTCGCATCTTGTTCGGTGGTGCAGAGTGTTAATTGACAACTGACCTCATTGTAAAGTGCTATCTGTTGGGCGTGTTTTTTACTCGCTTTTGGCTTTACGCCGCATCTAAAAGAAAACGTTGCTTGACTAAACCTTCAAACTGGGTTTCAATGTCTTTTTCGAGGTGCGTAATTAAGGAAGACTTGTATTAATAAACCCCACTACTTTGGTCTTTAAAGAACTTAGCTTTAGCTGAGACGTATCTAAATATATCTGTAGAATCAGCCAGGTGCTGGTGAGCGATAGTTGAATTAATTTTGCAAATTGTAATTCTTATTTTAAATAATGTTGTCCTTGTGTTACAGTCTGGTGCATTCATTCAACGAGGAAGGTGAATTTTACCTTATACGAAAAACTCCCTAACTTTGCCTAAGATATGCATTTAAATAGCAAAAGAAAAAAAAAACTTTGTCCTGCAACTGAAACTTTTCTGTTGAAGGGTTTCGTAGCTGTAAACACTTTTAACACAGTTATTGCCTAATTACCTTCCACAGGTTTAACGTCTAAGCTAGGAGAGCCAGCTGCCGTTAGTGTAAGAACCAAACTTTCTAGCGTGCTGTCGATATGTACGTAAAAAGAATGACCACCGAAGTATTGAGCGCGAGATTCTCTTATATCTAGTAGCTCCACTTTTCGAAGAGAAACACTTGATTTATCAGCGACTTCGCGATCAATGACTTTAACCGCGTCAGCTATTCCGGCCTTGCTAGTTTCAAGGACTTGTCCACCAGTCTGGGCAGCGATGGCCTCGTACAATGTTTGACCCTGACCACTTCTCTTTAAACGATTAAGCCGTCTGAAAATAAATGATTGTTCAATGTGGCGTTTTTTGCGCCTTTTGCATTTGCCAGTTAAAACAAAAGTGACCTTAACTTTTTTCTTTAAAGCTAGGGACATAACTTCTTTTCTTCGATGCTCGTCTTTTGCGTCAGCGTCTGTGAAAAAATAGATGTCTGACTCGGGAAGAGAGTGAAGTAGGGCCTGGTACAGTCCCGTCATTGCTAGCTCAGGGCAGTCTCCTCCTCCAGTAGCTTTCAATTTATTGACTGCATCAACCACAGTTTTTGCATCATTTGTTACTGTAACAGGACCCACATCTGTGTGGAACAAGGACAATTACCGGTCAGTACATATAAAACGCGGACTGCCTATATGAAACGGACTAGAATTAATAGACTCGTATAAAAGACGGACTCATTATAAAACGCGGACGATGGTCTATGTTTTTAAGAGAACAATACTATAAAGGAAGGTAAAAACAAGAACTCTCTTAGTCGCTTTGAGTATCGCTTGCTTGGAACCCGTGGGGCTTGGAAATACGTTTTGTTGTCAAAGGCGGTGGTGCTGTTACGTTATGCTACTTTTTCGTTTTAAATGCAAAACGAGTGTTATAATGTCATAATGTAAATACACAAAACGTAAAAATTGCAAGGAGAGACAGGTTGCACATCCAGCTTAGTTTCACATCGGTGTGAAACCTTTGAAAACCTTTAGATATTGATACATCCTCGGAGACCCAGGGGCAGATAGTGGGGGCGAGAGAAAGTCTAAACGGGCGTGAAAATATGGCACGAAGAAAAGTAAAGAACGGCGAGAAGAGCCCCTGGGGACGATGTCTTACCAGACCAGTTCCAAACGGTCGCCGCCGTTCTGGCTTCTGATTGGTGCCAGAAAAACACAAGTTTTCTGGCACCAATCAGAAGCCAGAACGGCGGCGACCATTTGGAACTGATCTGGTAAGACATTGTCCCCAGGGGCTCTTCTCGCCGTTCTTTACTTTTCTTCGTTCCAAATATATTTTTCCGCCCGTTTAGACTTTCTCTCGTCCCCACTATCTGCCCCTGGGGTCTCCGAGGATGATATTGATTTTGCTCCAGTGAGGATAACTCTTTCAGAGAATTTACACTCAAAACATTGAACAATGATTTTTATCAGTACAAATATATGTATAGCTTCTATATAGCGGATCAAGATACGGCCCGGTACAGTTTTTGTTCAATTCATTAAAATTGTGTAGGTTTAGCAGAACCTTATATAACAGACAGTTACTTCAGTTTGCGCGTATTGAAAATTCAAAATCGCGCGAAAATAATTACATTTTCCATAGCTACTTAGTATCTGCTTTTGATATNAAAATATGGCACGAAGAAAAGTAAAGAACGGCGAGAAGAGCCCCTGGGGACGATGTCTTACCAGACCAGTTCCAAACGGTCGCCGCCGTTCTGGCTTCTGATTGGTGCCAGAAAAACACAAGTTTTCTGGCACCAATCAGAAGCCAGAACGGCGGCGACCATTTGGAACTGATCTGGTAAGACATTGTCCCCAGGGGCTCTTCTCGCCGTTCTTTACTTTTCTTCGTTCCAAATATATTTTTCCGCCCGTTTAGACTTTCTCTCGTCCCCACTATCTGCCCCTGGGGTCTCCGAGGATGATATTGATTTTGCTCCAGTGAGGATAACTCTTTCAGAGAATTTACACTCAAAACATTGAACAATGATTTTTATCAGTACAAATATATGTATAGCTTCTATATAGCGGATCAAGATACGGCCCGGTACAGTTTTTGTTCAATTCATTAAAATTGTGTAGGTTTAGCAGAACCTTATATAACAGACAGTTACTTCAGTTTGCGCGTATTGAAAATTCAAAATCGCGCGAAAATAATTACATTTTCCATAGCTACTTAGTATCTGCTTTTGATATCTCCGTACAGTTGATGTTTACGCGATCTCAGAGTACAATTTTTAGAGCAGTACACAGCATGCATTTTATCACAGTACCACTGGGATAAAGCGTTTCATTTTCCAGGGAAATTTCACTTTTTTGTCAAAACAATCACTGACTCAGTCAGACTCGAAGTAGTTCACTTAAATTTAGTGCTCAGTACAGCCAACGGGATTATACTCTGTGAAATTTATCCACAGTCTGCAGCCCACAATTACATCTCCACAATCCACGATTGATTTAAAATTTTATTTTATTTCAAGTTTTTTTTAACCGATCCTGGATCCCTGTTCCACGATCCTCGATGCTAATTTTCCCGTAAACCTCGAAGTTTTGCTCATTAAGGTTGTTCTTTTTTTCGACCACTGAACTAATCACTTGCTCTAAAGTAATCAACACTTTCAAGCGATATAATTCATAGACCGACCTGTTCCGGAAAAGCTCGATATGGGATTTCTATTCTATGGACACGAAATGCTGCAAGTAGAGTGCG